GCTAATGTGAGCTCTCATCTGTGGTTTTCTCTGCGGATGCTAATTGGAATGCAATTTTTAAATTCTGTTGTAGATCATATCTGCTTCCTGTAACATGTATTGAGGCCACTCTCTAAAGAGGTCTCTTGACTTTCACTAGAGAGCTGCAGTAACAGTACAAATTACTTAGAAGGAGCATGGATATAAACTTACAGAGATAATATCAACATTAATTATCCAGTACAACTATTCAAGCTTACACCTCATGAGTGCATTGCTCATATTTGCCTCAGTTCACTGTAAATCTCCCTTTCATTACTGTTCACAGCCCACAAGTATGACTATTTTTATATACTCTAGAGGCATACATATTTACACTTTTAAAAAAATCCTAAACACACCAAATGTCTGATGAACAGTTCCCTTTTATCCCTAACATATTCAAAGGCCAATATTTTAGTGCTGTAATGAAATAAAACCTTTTATTGAACAGAAGTATGCTAGCATACTTTGATAATCACTTGTTTCTATTTTCAGCACATATTTGTTGACTGCTGTAGAGTGCATTAAAATAAACTAATCTGTTAGAAATTGTTTTTGGTGTTCCAATTATGATAATTAAAAAGATAGTATTCATGCTGCTTAGATGATATGAAGTGTACTTAGATACATTTTGAGACTCCAAAGGCAATGACACATACCTGTTGTCCTTGTTAAGTACCTATAATTAAAGGGGAAATTGACGAGCAAATGCACATAAAATTGAAAAATTATCCAAACTAGGATTAAAAAATAATTAACAACCATTATAAACATGCATAGTGGTTCCTCTAAGACACTTTGAATTATGGAAAAAGAGGAAAAAAATAAATAAAACTCACATACAGAGAACATCAGGAGTAAACTTGTATAATATTAAGATAAATTATGTGTAACACATTTTTTAACTCTGCTCTTTGTGGCACATCTCACCTTGATGCAGCCACTTATTTCTCCTTTGGAAATATTAACAGAATCATTGGTCATTCAAACTATCAATAGTTTAGTAATGAAAATGAAACAAAGCAATACCAAACACAAAAGTGTTTGCACTAAAAGACATCAAAATTTGGTACATCTACTGCATATGCAAGATTTGCTAAATTCTCCCAAATCTAGTAATTTTTAAAATCACCTAATTTCTATTATCTAATAATTTTCTCTTTTAGTGAAACAAGACCTTTTCTTCCAAGTAACTGAGTAGTCAAATTAAAAACGCTAACATCCTGCCTGTATATGAAGATCACATGGACTTGCATGGATATTCCAATATTTATGTCAGTGATACAGATTGCAGAGAGAGAAGAATTTGTGATCCTTCCATCAGGAGTGTCAGAGACTTCCGTGTGCTCCGAACACAGAAAGCAAAAGCAGCTGCCTAAAGCTCAGAAGTGCTCAGGACATCCACAATCCCCTTCCCTTGTGCAGGCACCTGATGATTGCTCCTTTTCAGAATCCATGGGTCAAGGCACTGATGTTTCTTTTTCTCTAATCTTTTGCAAGAAGCTTTCAGTGACTAATCAAGTTTGGAGTTGCTGTAGTTCTGTTGATATCATCACACAGTACATTTTCATTTCCAAACTAATGGTCCTAATTTTTAGAATCAAATTTTGGACCCAGGGATTTTCCAGTTTGTGTAGAAACTACTTTCCATAATCAAATTCTATTACATATTTTAAAATTCTTATTTCTCAAATTCTTCTTAGTAAACTCACTTAGAAAGAGCAAAAATAGATGGGCCTTGAAGACAATAAAGTCCAGTTTGCTCACTGAAGAGCAAGGGCACTCAAGCAGATGAAGAGGATATCTGGTCCATTCACTCATTTACAGGAGTGATCAGCAGCAGATGGGAAGGGAAAGAGTTTCAGGCAATTACCTGTGAGGTAATTCTTCTGCTAGCACACATTCCTACCCTGCAGCAGCCAGCAGCAGAGGGAACTGTCCTCCTGGACTGGGTTTATATCCCTCTGTTCCTTTGTACACAACAGGACACCCTCTTTTCAGTTCACCTGCTAATGCAGTGAGTAGCACAGACCCTCACAACAAACCCCTCCAACTATTTGCCAACAAGTAATTGGTTCCTACCTCCTTTTCCTATCTCTAATCAGTCATTAATTTATGAAAGGATCTTCTTACTTGTCCCATGACAACTTTCAATTATTAGCACTGGGAAAGAACCTCATCAAAAGTGTTCTATAGAATAAAAGCATATGATCATATCAAGCATACTTACTTGCTTTCTGAATTTAAAAAAAAAAAAAAAAACAACCTCTAGTAGATTAAGAAAGCATGATTTTTTTTAAAAGAAAAAGAAAAAGCATCTCACATTGTCAGGTTCACTCTTCACTGTTATATCATATGCTTATTCATTTTCTCTATTCAATCATGTTGTGGTCACAACCAGATTCCTTCACATAAAGGCTAAAATGACTTGCTATGCAGATCCCTCTGAACTTTCTTTTGAAAAATAGGATTTGATACTTGTCACACGTATGCTTTCTGTGCTGAGGCCACTATAAGTCACAGGCTATACATCAAAGCGGGTTGTTTGGAGATTTTTTGTTTAAGTTCCTTTGAAACACCTGGGAGAATATTATCTGGTCCTTATATTTGTCACAGTTCATTGTATGAATTTCTTCTAAAGTCCCTTCTATTGACTTCTATTCTAAATTTTAAACAATTTCTGGAACTAACCTCTCACAAGAAAAAGCTCCAGAATTAGAACTTCCCAAACTCCTCCAACGCAAAGAATTATCTTATTTTTATGCCTTAGAGACTATCCCCTCTCAGTGAATTTGACAAAAAGGTTTTACTATTAGTTCTTATGCTCCTAGAAATTTGGTCCTCAAAATCCTTCTGGGCTTGCTTTATCACAATTTTACATCCAACTTGCTAGAGTTCAAGTTTAATTCTTATTCTCAAATGACTCTGGTTTCTAGAACTTTTTCTGAAACTTTTCTGAACTTTTTCTTTTCTAGAACTTTTTTCTGTTGTTTAACTAGGCCTTTAAAGATGCCACAGTTCTCGTGGCATGTGAGCAGCCCCCAGAACTTTGTACAGATTACTATTGAAAACACAGCTGCAAAGCAGTAAGGTAGCAGTTCTTCCCCACCAGCATTAATGGAAAATCAGTAGTGATGTGTTTAATGTTTATCAGTAACTTCTACCAGAGAATTTCCTCCCACATCACCCAGAGCCTCTTGCCCCACAAAACACACCAGCCAGCAGTGGCAGACAGTACTGTGCCTTTCTCTGAATCCTCCCTCCTGATGCACATCATTTTTGGGGCATTATTACATTTTTACCTCTCTCTCAGGTACGAGAGGGTTTTGTTCAGAAAGAGCCACCTAAACCCTTTTCCTCTTTGAAACAGCCCTAAAAGGACGGAGAGTCAGTGGCACTGTCCAAACTTCCAGGTCACTTGCCAGCAGGACAAGAAGACCAAGCAGTTGTGGTAGAAAATACAATCACCTCTACACCTCTGACTGATGGGTTACATTTGACAACTGCCTCTTTTTTGCCTCCTGACTTTTTTAGACACAGCGAGTGTGACATTTTCAGTGGCTCCAGCCTCTCATCACAGTTTTCTCTAATGTGTCATGGCAGAGAGGCTGGGACAGCTGAGCACTGCTCAAATTTGAAAGAACCCAGTATGAAAGAAGGTATAACAGCAATAGCTCTCATTTTTCTCTGAGCAGGCTTCCTCTCCACTCACACAAAACCTTTCTAGCAGCAGTGGTGGCTGGAGGAAGAGCAGCTGTAATGCTTCAGGGGTACCTCAGAGCTGTGACCACCTCAGCCAAGTGCTCCCTCAGATGATCAACAAAAATGTGACTGCCTAATGATGGCAGCCCTCTAATTGAGGCAGAGCTATCTAAATCTAGCACTAATTTTAATCAAAATAACTGCCTAATTATTATACATGCTTTACAAATAAGATCACTTAGACAACAAAAAGTTTCAGTGAGTGGTTTGAAGGCAAAACTGTTTACAGAAATTGGTAGAAGCAAATGTCAGCAGACTAAAATTGCCAGTCCTCTTCTGTACCTTCTTAGATACCACACTATCTAAGTGTGATACATTAACTTTGTGCCTTTCTCTCTGTGACCAATAGAGATTCAGGAGAAAAAAGGGGAATCACACAGCAATTTTTGAGGTCCTGACTCTGGGGACTGAGACCCACAGAAGTGGTGGCAGCCACTTTCCAGACCCAAACAGCACAGAAAAACAAGGCCAGTTTAACATGCAAAGCTAATAAGAGCAAAGAGAATTGCCGGGGTAAAGGTAAAACTGTTGCACACAGACTGGTATAGAATTTTAAAGCCTGTTAGAAAATTTCAATTCAAACCTCCATTAAAGCAAACAGGAATGAACATCCAAACTCGTAACACATAATTGAAAAACTCAGCTGTTTCACCTTATTTGTTTTCACACTAAAATATATGCTGCCTAAAACCAGCTAGTAACAAAAATTAGAATCAGACAGGTAGCACTGCACATACAGGTAAGAATTTTCAGTTAACTACAGATATCACTCCTTGTCCTTGAAGGTATTGAACAAATCCACTGGATATACCTTTTTATGTTTCCTGATCTATTTCACAGTCTTCTCTAGTCACATTTATTGTTACATATCTGTCAATACTAGAAGACAGAACTGCTATCTCTGTGTATTTATGGAGATGTGTGTACATGTTTTTGCTACCGAAAACAGAAGATAGAAACATTAGGCTTTAATAAAAGTGATTTAAGCTATCATTCACAATGGAGAGAGTACAAACCACAAACATACACACACACACACAACACATTCTTAAGTCTCACAGCTGAACTACCAGGTTTGAACTTTTAATTTTCAGTCACACACAACACAAGAAGTACAGCTGTTTTCTGAAGCTTGATACACACATTCCCAAAGAGGCACTTTATAAGGAGGCTATGAGGATTTATAAGGATTATGCTATGAGAAGGAAGATACTCACTGATCTGGTTGGTAGATGCACTATAAAAAGCATTTACAGTAGTTGGGCTTGTAAACCACCTGTAGTAAGAACAAAAAAAATTGTCTGTCAGTACATTGGCATTCACCTTTATGAATCAAAAGAGCAAAGACAAAAATTGAACTCAGTAGAAGAAAGTAAAAACATTAAAGACTTAAGATACATTAAAGTTTAAGTATTTCTCCATTTCAGTACATGTTACCTACACTTTCTAGAACATTGAAATCTATTGTTTAATGACTTTAACTGTGTACAGTCAATAAATGCCCAACAGGAGCAATTCTTAGTGCTCTTATCATGTGATCTGTTTAATTTTTAAGTGGCCACTGTGCTTGTGAGGCCAGCCATGCTGATGAAACAAAATTCACCCTGAAGAGGCTGCAACATGGACAGCAGCTGTGAAAACTCTTCTGGGTGTCTTTCAAACATGTGTGGAGGAACTCCATGTTGAAATTAGAGGCGAGCATTTTGAAACAAGTAAAGTGGCTTTAGAGGCTTTGCTGAACAACTACATGAAAAATTAGGATTATGCCAGCAACATAAACAGATAATTTCTGGGAATGTAAATTCAAAATAAACAGCTTCATGTTCTGTACCCTATGCAGTGAACATGACCATCCTAAACAAACAGACCTCTTGCCAGGCATTTCTTCTCATAGTTTGATTTCTCATATATACTGGAAGAAACCCTAGATTTGAATAGATTTGAAAGGTGGACTTTGATGATCCTTGAGATTCCCTTCCCACTCAGGATATTCTGTGATTCTATGAATAGCAAATGAATCTCCTTAGCCTAAGCTCATCCATATTGACAGTGGCTTCAACCATATGAATGGAAAATCTTGACTGACTTCAGCAAGATCCAAATCCCCTCAGATGAAACCCTGAGTTCGGTGAGCCCAAAATTTCACTTTGTGATTTTATAAGGGAGAAATTATGTTAAAAAAATAAAGATTATGATAATTAGTGGTTAGTTCATAATAACTTAGAAGCAACTCTAGTAAATGTTCAAACAGGAACATCCTGATGTCATTAGTAAAATATTACTCAAAAGTTTTATACAGCCATGTGCATGCAATGTAATTGTTTTGGAAAATTTATTTTAAAGAGAAGAGAAAGGAGCTGCAAGACAATGAGTAAGATCTTTCCAAAGGAAGATCTATCAGAATATGGAAAATGTGTGATATCAGTGACAATGTACACACAATTCATGCTTTTAAATAGCCCCATTAATAAAAGAATCATCTGCAGATCCTGACTGTTTTTCTGACAACTAATGTCCTCACTTAAACCATATAACAAAGGGGAGAGTTCAAAAGTGGCAGCATTTTGTCTTTTATCAATAAATTTAACTGCTTGTTTTATTCTCCACACTGAGCAGCTTATTTTGCAATGCATCAACTAGAAAAGCTAATAAATGAAGGCTAAGAGTGATGTCATGTATATATTATAACCATCCATTACATTACAGGCTCTAATTGTCAGAGATATCTCTCCCTGTTTTGTTTATTATGAGACTGTGAAGAGAAGGAGCAGGGAGAAGTTGTTTTCTGGTCTATTTTCTGCTTTCTTCATAATAAGGAGATTAAATGTTAGAGGTAATGTAGTGAGATAATGGAAAATTAAAGAAAGAATGTATATGGTGAGGGGATAAAGAAAAAAAATTAGGGGCTTAATTAACTACATTTCAATTTCATGTTTGTTCATAGCAGCAATCAGCTGAACTGTTTTGAAGGATGCAAACCTGCCATTTATGCCTTGGGACCTGCACTCTAGGCTTAGCTATAAATCTGGAGGACTGTCCCTTTTTTGACAAGGGGAAAACCCATCTGAAAGAGTCAAAACTTCAATTTATATTTTACTGCAAGTTTGAGCAAAGACACAGTCCTGTGACTGGCACTTCACCCTCTTGGCTTGTTCTGCTTACAATGGCCTTTCTGCTCTCAAACAGCAATTTTTAAGCATGAGAAAGGCTTCTGGGACAGAAAATGCTCCCGTTTTGCAAATTCCTTTTAGCCTTTTATTTCCAGTCAGAGGATCAAGGGCCTGAGATGTGTAACAGATACTTCAAAACAGATTAATGTGCTGTGGCTCTTTACTCCATCTTCTGGGGGCGATTACCACACCTAGCTGCAGAGAGGAACCACCACAAGCAGCAGCAAAGAGCTCTTCACTGAGTAGGGACAGCTCTCTAAGAGCACAAGTTTGCACTTGTTCTTCCTGGGTGAGGAGTGGTGATGCAGGTGCTTGTCCCCTCAGGAACACCTCAGTCTGCCCAAGAGCAGCAGTGAATGCTGCTGACATTTGGTCCACATTTACTGAGGGAGGACTTCACACCATCCTCTGGCCATACTTTCATACCTATGAACTCATAGACTTGTAGCTTGCAGGTGAAGACACATCACAGCATCCCTGTCCTGAGGTTGCTGCTTTGCTCATGATCTACCGCCACAAGAGCAGAGCTTAGCATGAGCCCAAGGCTGAGAGCAGCCTTGATTTTCCCACTGCAAAACTGAACTCAGTTCTTTCCAAATTGCTCCTTCATAACAAGGCCTCAAGAATGACCCTGTATGGAATTAATTTTGCTTTTAAGCAGTTAGGAAGAGGACACTTAGCAGCCGTACTGAGGAGTCAGGAAGAATGAGAGTTCTCTAGTAACAAGCAGAGTATTTAATATTTGACATTTGGCAAGAAGCATATTTCTAGTCCAGCATTTTGTTGTACCATTCTGAGGCCTCTCAGAAAGATTTAGGAAGTATTTTCCACAAAAGAGTAGCAATAACTATGACTGTTTTCATCCAGACTAGCAGAACAACTTCACTTCTCCTCTGCCATGCTCTTTCAGTGAGCTCCTTGAAAAGACTGAACCTTCAGGGATAGTCCTTAACTAATAACACACCAAGTTACAACATGAAGGTGTGTAATAAATAGCTGCTGCTGTTAAATTTTAAGGTGAAGCAAATTTAGAAATAACTCTCCCATTCCTGTTTGAAGTGAGATTCCCTGAGCATTTGTTCTAGGTCTGGTTACAATTTCTGTGAGCTTTATCTACTAACAGAAGGATAGGAAAAAAAAAATGTGCATTACACATTCCAAGCTCTTATTAATTACAAAGTAAATAAATAAAATTCTAGAACTGTTTACACTGTTTTCATTTGCTATAAGTTTGTGAAAAAGGGACAGCTTTGAATGATGACCTGTAGCATTACCTATCTACTACTGCAGCAGCCAAAACTAATTTCTGCAGAATTGACACTTGTAAGGTTGAGATTTCTCTTGTAAAAATAAAATGTGAAATGCCCCACTGAGATAGCAAGTGGGGCAGAAACTCTCTCAGTCTGTGTTCTTGAGGCTGAAATTTCTTCTGTGATATTTTCTTTCTGTGTTAAGAGTATAGTGTGCTACATTGCCATTCATGAACAGGGATGGCTGGGAACATTTACAACACAAAAAAAAAAAGCTTATTAGTTTATTTATTTCTCTGTAAAGCACAAACTGAATTTGCAAATTGATCCTCAGTTTTTTGAGTTGGAAGAAATCATTTGGTTTGCTGTTCAACATTCAAAGTAAGAAATAAAAAATAAATAATCATGTAAACATAGCAAATTAACTTGTGAATGTACAAAGACTTGAGCTGGTTAGAAGTGAAAAGCTGTACAAAGTTTCTGGAAGCTGGAAAATGTCTTCCAATGAAAACACTATGAAGAAAAACTTCTATAAGGGAGGCAACCTTCAAGGTGACTTTCAAAATTGTATTTCCTCTTCTCATAGTTAGTCACTTATATATATTTCCTCATGTTGAAACAGATTATTATCCCAGGCTGCCATCTGTCTCCCTTAGGAATGGGCAAGCTAGGATGGTAAGGCTGGATCCAGCCTTCAGTGCCACATCACTGCTTAAAATGAGGTTCAAAGACCAGGAAAAGGCTCCAGGAGGTTCCTTTCCAGCCTCTCCTCTCCAGGGCAGGTCCCAGCCACACAATTTCCACCAGCATCTCTCCAACAGACAACAGCCTGCCCAGTGTTTTTGATGGCTGCTTTTCCCTTTTTGCAGAAGGAGCTTTTACACCATCCTTAGAGGTATCCAACCCAGAACCTCTCAGAGCTGCCCTCCCTTGTGGCAAACCAAGAGCCAGGGCTTACATACAATAGAGTGTGGTCAGGAAAAACAGGGATAGGTCCTGAAGGAGACCCCAGAATCCTCCCATAGCATCCTCCCTTTGTATCCTCTTATCAGGATACCAGACATCTACATCCCCAGTTCTGAAAGTCTAGTGAAAAATAGATAAAGATTTGGCCAGGTCTAAAAATCTTAGATTATGTGCTGACTTCAAAGGAGGAAGATGAATAATAATGAAGTGATGTGACCAAGAAGTCCTCTGATGCTTTGTTATTTGCAAGTATGGTATTAATGTTAAGGAGGACAGATTCTATCTCTGATTAAAAGGTGCAGGCATGTGTTTGTACACACAAACACACACACACACATGTGTATTTGAATGAAGGGGTGTGACTCCATGGATGGATAGGCAAATGCAACTAATACCCTGACTCTCCTTAATTTTTCCCATCACTATCACTTCCCCCTGTACTGCCTTTCACTTTCCTCTGCTCTAGCTGTATCTTAACTGGCTTATAAGGATTGTCTTCACACCTGGTGCCCATCCTCTCACACTGCCCCTTCCAGACTCTCCACTGAGCCCTAACCTGGGCTGGTTTGTGCACCATATTCCTCAGCTCCTGCACCAATCCCTTTCATTTTTCTCTCTGCTGATACCTGAGCACTTCTTTTCTTGTTGGATAGAGCCAGCTGTGAAGGTGACAGTCACCTCCCCAGCCAGCTGTGAGGCTGGCAGCTGGCACCAAGGCTGGTGTTGAGCACAAGTGACACCTGCCAGAGCTGTGGCTCTGGACTGGCAGAAGAGGCAGCTCCAGCACCCCCGTGCCCTGCCACAGCTTTCTGGTACAGTAGGGCTGGGTGTGGCCCACCACCCATGCCCTGAGCTCATCTGAGTTCATACTCCCTTCTCCTGTCAGGCAGATAAATGCCAGGGATGGAGAGAACAAAAGAGAGAATAAAGATTTTTGATAATTACTCCCGATTTAGGGTTTTTTTCCTTTTTTTTTTTTAATTAAAAACTGTTGAATTTCCAAAAGAATTCTTTTCCACTTTGTTATTCATATTCCCCCTTGTTTTATCCAACAGCTTTGTCTTGTATCTCCTATCTTTGTCCATCCCCTGATGGTCTTTCCCTGGTGCTTTGATTGAACTATCATTTTAATTTCACATTTAGCTGAGGAAAGTGATTCCAGTTTGAAATAATTACTGAGAAACATGGACTGTCTGCTAAAAGAATATAGTGTTTTACCTTTTGGGTGTAATATTATTTTAGCAACTTTTATTTTATTTCCTTAAACACTAATTTTCTTATTTATCTTTTTTGGTCCACAATTTTGATGATCTTATAATATCTATCTCTAAATATAAATGTTATGCTAAAAGCTACTAAACTAGGGAAAAGAAGAAATGAAGCAAATAGAAACAAAAACCCAAGGGTAATTAGCTATTAACATAGCACCATGCCTCATCAAAAATTCTGTGGAGTTACATGAAATGTAAAAGTCTAAAAAACAAAACCAGAAAAATGAGAGGGAAAAAAAAGAAGACAAAAGCATTAGAAAGCAGTAGAGTATGATGATTTAAAAGTGGGAAGTAGCTAAAAAGTGGCTGATATTTTTGAGGCCAGGTTTGACATGCCTCAGACTGGTAACTGGGAGTTATTGGTTTATTTAAATAAATTTTTAAAAAATTACTAGAGGCAGCAATGACTCTGTGCCTTGGTGTCCCTCAGCAGGCAGAGTGACACCACTTTCCGAGCCCTTTTCTATCACTGAACAGGTTCAGAGACAGAATAATATCCCAGCAGGAGCCCTAATTATCCCTCCCTGCCAGGGCTGGGGTGGAGATTACCTCCAGCCCTGCAGAAGGCAGAGCAAATAGCTGTGCTAACAAAGGGAAGGGACCAGAAATCAAACTGGCATCCCCCAGGCCTGAATGTGCTCTGAGGGCTGACAAGAAAAGAGCTACAAAGGTGATGAGGGGCTGGCTATTATGTAGTCCTGGGAATAAGAAGGCAAAGACAGGCAAGAGAAGGTGTTCAATCTTGTAGAGGGCAATTGGATAACACTTTCAATTTTTAAGCACACCCATGTGACAGCTCTCAGACTACAGTCCTGGAGTCAGGGGCTGCCTACCACTTGATCTCCTTTCAGGGGAGCTTTCCCATCGTGCCAAGAGTCTACAGGTTCTGCACCAGTGCTGGCTGCCCCAGGGCTGACCATTGCTACGGAGAGGCCAGGGCTGTTTCACTGCTGTCTTTGAACTGTTACCCTGAAGAGAACACACCGTCATGGTCTAGTCCTGACATCCAGGAAAATCCCTGAAATCATACCCCGGGGCTGGCCAGTGCAATGTCAGAGAAAGCTGCGATGAGAAGGTAAAATTCACAATTAAATCTAAGGTATAAATAACGCCTTGAACACACAGGGCCAAATTAAAACATTTCAACCACGAACAACCTTTGTTTGTGCCCCTGCCTCATAGACAGCACAGAGCCACCCCCAGAACAAGGTATGGTCCAGTGTGAGTAGGGTTTCTGGAGTCCTAAGGAAATAAAACCACTGGAGCTAAGCACTGGCACTGATTTTAAAGTCTGTGTGTAGAAGTCATTTTTAAGTAGCATGATTAGACTAATTAAGTTCTGCTTAGGTGTTAATTTGCATTTTAAGGATTTGATTACACACCAGTAAGAAAAGAGAATGATTCTCTCATGTGTTTTATGACAGTTTGTGACACAATCTGCACTTTCATGTTTACAAATAAATAAAAATAATACGTAGATTAAATTACGTTTCATTCTGTACCATTGCTATCAACAGCAGGTAACTAACAATGCTGATTTGTATTACTAATAATAGCATTATCTCTTACTATGATTTCATTCCTACTGAATTTATTTCATAAATCCCCACTGTACCATTTCAAACTCTAACTGTGACCAAGAGACATAATCCATTTTTAATTGCAATTCAATTACCCCTTTTTTCATTAAATTAAGTTTAAGCTTCAAGCATGTGACTACTCTGCATATGAACAGGGATACCTTACCAAAAAGAAAATTCACAGGAGTTTCTGAATAATGGGAGTTTGCCCATAGGCTTTTTGTGGCATAACATATTGCTGTTAACATAATTATGTTAAAATTTAATATATAATAGTATTTAATGTACAAATTAAATAATATAAGTTAAAATATTGTTAGAAGATTATGTAAATTTGCCTTTTGTCTACTCACTCTGTTTTTGGAACTTCTTTTCTAAGCCAGTAGAAATCAGATTGAGCTGCGTATTTGCGAGTTTGCAATACATTGCCAAAATAATCACTTTCTGTAAACTTCAGCTGTTCCAAGAAAGCACAGACATTTTTAAAGCATGTCCAAAAAAAACAAAAGCTGACATAAAACAAGCAGAACTTTTTTTCTATATGAGATAATTACCTAATTTTTTTGCGATTATCAAAGCAAGTAAAATTTTCATACTTGGTAGGAAGAATAAATATTTTATGAGCTTAGTTAAAAAAAAACAGTGGCTGAACAGATCTGCACAAGGGTCTGGAACACTGGGAAAACTCTTCACTGTGCTGAAGGAATAATAAGCACCCAACAGTGGATTGCAGACTGCACATTTCCATGGCTATTATTAAGAGAGCCTCTTTCCCAGGAGGAAGTAGGCTTACTTTTATTTTTAAAAGTGCATTTAAAAACCACTTCCAACAATGTAATGAAGTCCCTTTTTCAGTTTGTTTTACATTTTATAAAAAATACTTCATATTCTGTGCCTTCTGAGAGTTCTACCACATTAAATATTTACAGCCATAGGGCTCCATGCTTCCGTAAGTTTCCAAATCTAATAGCATTCATGCACACAAAACTAAACAGGCAAGGAAAAGGGATGGTAATAGGTTATAAATCCCTGTCATCAGTTTAAAACACTTCTAGGATTTGTGAGGAAGTTGCTCTTCAGATGTAAACTTTGTTTTTGCAAGCATGATTAACAAGTATTTTTCACCAGCCATTGCCACTCATCTGAGCAAACAAGGCCATACACTGAGTGACAGAGTTGGTCACATGCTCTGTCTCATTGCACTGTTTTCACTGCATCTTCTCACCCCGCAGCTTCCCTGGACAAGGACTAGGCTGGTGGAGTTGGCTCTCTCAATAAATGATGCCTCTGTTTAGTGTTTGTTCATGTGCTCTGGCAAAGATGATGATCGCTCTTGTTTACTGCTTCAGGATTGAACTTGTGTTTCTAGTTTGCCTGTGACTTTCAGTGATACAATTCATCAAATGCATGCCACAGTTGCAAAATAATAATAATAATAATAATAATAATAATAATAATAATAATAATTTGCCTTCCTGCCTTAGTTAGGCTGAACAGGTACTGGGGCAGGAAGGAGTCCCCCCACAGTATCTTTGTCCAGCAGGCAGCACAGTAGGCCTATACATTGGTTAGGACCTCTTGACATGATTATAAACATAAATTGTAAATTAAACTCATAGCCTGGAGATATGAGAAGAACTTAAATACGGCATCCTAAGTTGTGACATTCTGAGGTAAATTGTGTTAGGCTTTTTGAAAATCATTATTTTGAGAAAAAATGCTTTTGGTTTATTCCATTTTTATAACTAAATTCAAAATTATTACATTGTGTGCATAACCTTTAAAATGCTTAATAGCAGGAAGGTTCTTTGCACCCAGGCAGACTTTACTCCCAGCAGACCTCATGATCTCACTTAGATACAACAGCACTGACTATTTACATACAATTTAGAGCTAGCACACTTCAAAAATAAAATAAAAATAACCAGGCAAGCACAAGTCCAGGTGCCTGCCAAACAAAAGACTAGCTTTGACTTTAGACAGCAGCAAAACAGATCAAAGAATGGCTGCAATGAATGAATAAAGCTGCAAGCCTGACACTTACTGTTTTGATGTCTTCATTAATATACGTGTCATTCATTATAAATTGAGGGTAACCAACTTTCGCCATAACTGCTTTTGCCTTTGAAAAAGAAAAAGAGAGAAAAAAGGTTTTGACAGATAAAACCACTTCTCAGCATACAGCTTTTTCTCCTTCTTGCTCCATTTCCACTTGGCATCATTATGCTTCCCTGGAGCCATCCTAATGTAACTTCAAAACAACCTGCCTACAAGGTAAACTTGGTGCCACAAATGAGCTCGGCATCACAAGGCAGAGGGTCCAGATTCTGCTGTCAGATTATCACAGTGGGTCTATCACTGCCTGCAGAGCTCTTGCGTACTTACAGCAATGTGTCTGAGTGCAAAATTTAACAGCTGATTTTCTCTACAGGGCTCTGTGTTAATCAGATGGTCAAATGCCTGTTTGTACAATGTTTTCCAAAGGACAACAGGAAATGGTCTGTTCCTCTATGGCCCAGTAGCTGGTACACATCCAACTGCTAAAATAGATCTGCTGCACAGATGTGAATCAACCTTGATCCCAGCAAGTGCAGCCTGGTGTTTCCACTGAGGGCCACTTCCATCTGCACCTGAGGATGGGTCCTTTTCTGAAGGACACTGTACTTTCTGAAAACCACAGGACTGATCTGTGTGTAATTCTCCAGTTTCCCTCCTTTACTTTGCAGTCTTTGCTCTTTCCCTAATACCAGTAGGGGTGTTAAAAGAAGACACTTCATTTTTCATTAATACTCTTTCAGTCATGACTTGGTCCCAGCATTAATGCACAACCTGCACAAACAGTCCAGTATGAAGTAGCTGTAGATGAGTATTCCCACTTTGTAAATCATGGTGTGAGTTTATAAACAGCCTTGGTAATGTCCTCACAAAAACACCAGCAGGCCACTCAGGCACCCAGAATCTCTGTGGAAACATGCTTCCAGAAGAAAAGCAGAAGTACACAAAAAGGTAAGATGACATACCAAGAAGTGAAATGTGACAAGTCCATAGGATAAATTACAGCTATGATGGACCAGGTTAGCACAAAAGTTTAATTTTTTATGTTTTCAGGATGCTGAATATAATTTCTCCATAAGTCTTTGGAACTTCCTCCACCCCTCAAAAAATGTGCCTCAGTGGTCATCAGGCTCCAGTGTCAAAACTCAAATGAATATTGCAAGATATGAAAAGCAATAAATAATTGGCATTTAAACCAAGTACAACAGTACTAACCCTGTATTCTGCTCTCTGTGAGCAGAGCCAGGACCTCTCTAGGGTCCAACAACTTTTATTTCCTTTTTGCTGCAGCGACTGACTGCTTAAGGGAAGATTCTCCTTCCTCCACATATCCTTTTCTCCTTCTCCCACTTCACAGCATCTCCATACAGCAGGGCCTCCTATAGAGCAAGACGTAAAACCAGCTGTTCCACAACTTTCAGAAGGAAGGTGATGGAGGATTGCTTCCATTTAACCAAAGTCATTCTGTCTCCTCTTTTATTTTTCAAGAAGAAAGGCTTCTTTTCTTCTTCAAACTCCTTCAATTTCTCAGTCTCACTTCAAACCCAAAGTCATAATCCTCCATTTGTGACATCACAATTAATTGTGGTTGAGATAATTAAGATGTCACAAACAGAAGATAACAACTTCAGGTAGGAAATTAGCAGCAGGAGCAGACAATCTCTTAAGCAAGAAAGATCCCATTGTCATGCAAATTGCCCTAGTAATAAAAAAAGCAATGGAAGAAAAATGCTGAATGGAAAATATGAAATGAGCCAAATTAACTCTCAACAGAATGTTTCCTCAGTTTGCCAGAAGGTTCAGCAGTCTTTCACAATATTTTAAAGGCTGTGGTGGGGAGGGAGAATAAGAAGCCAGGAAGGGAGCATGATTCATCTGCAAGTATGTATGTAATCAAAAATATCTAAATTTTTCCTGGTAGTGTTGTCAGGTCCAACTGACTGAACTTCGCAAGGAAACAGAAAATTTCCTTTACTGCTTCCCATGTTTTAATACTAGTTAAAACTAGCTTTGTAAAAGGAAAAAGCAAAACCCAACAGTTTTAATTTCTGCTAAGTCAGCTACTTAAACAAATTCGTTGGACCTCAAATGTTCTGCATGAATTCATCATTTGCTTTCTGACTTTTACATTTGATGTTGTGAGATTGAGATTTCTAAGCATGAGAATAAAATAGTCAGACACTATGGAGATTTTTTTATAACTTCTGTATAAAACCCTAGTAAATAACAGAGTGTGTCTTGAGATTTTGGAAAGCAACCTCAAAAGGTAATGATGCTTTTAGTACTTCGATGCTTTGTCAATATCTAAAGCTGTCTGTATTTTGTGAGATAGATAGATAGATAGACAGATAGATAGATAGATAGATAGATAGATAGATAGATAGATAGATAGATAGATGATAGCTAGATAATGGAGAAATGTTATATTATTGCATTTGTTACTTAAAAGACATTACTACAACATGTGTGTTTTAGAGATCTGAGCAAATAAGTCAGACAAAGCTGATGCTGACAGTGAAGGATGTTTGGCTCCTGGTTAGGTAAACTGTTTCCTATAACCAAAGCAAAACTCATGAGAGAACATAGGAAGCTTTCTGAAGTCCTTGGGAATCCCTCAGACTGGGATTCCTCCTAGAAGCTTTGCATCAGGTGCAAACCTTCTCAGCTGAGCCCAGCACACAGCACAATTTATTTACACAATTGACAAGTTAGAGAGTATCATATTGAGAACAGGTTTCTAAATTTGCATGTTGGAAGTCTTGTTTCTGTGCCTATTTTTCTGTTCACTTGTGTAATATTTAACAGCAGTTGGGAGATTCCTTATTTATACAGCATAAGGCAGTGGAAAACTCTTCTACAGCTTGCTAACTCTTTGATAATGATGTCATTATTTTCCCCTTGATAGAATTAAAAGTATGTATAAGATACCAGCCTTCCAGGAAGCAAGCACAGGGAGTCAAATGAAATGTGACAAACGTACAGGAACTAGCCATGTGGCAATTGCACATGAATCCACCATAAATCCACCATGCACAACTTTTTTATGGTTTAAAGGCTCATTTAACTCCTCTCTCTAATTTGCATATTAAACAGCCATGTGTGCAGGAAGAAAAGAGGCGCTGGGGTACTTCCCCCAGGCATCATTAAGCACTCAGCCTGTGTTGGGCTGTTGGGTAAATTAAGGAAACTCATTGCTGCAGGGTGCTTTAGGGTAAGTCATGACAACTCTTTTCTATCCCAGCAGCCAGAGAGAGCAGGCTCTGAGGCAGAGGAGCCAGAGTGGGACTATTTCCACCACTCCTTGTGCATGGAAGTTTTCCCACTGACTTCAACACAGCCAGGATTTTACCATCAGTGTTTTTCTGTCACAGGGAGAGCATTGTGAGTCAGTTTACTACACAGACAAAATAAAAAACAAGCTTTCACTCTCTGCTTAACAACCTGCCAATGTGGGAATGCAGACGTGTTTCAGTGCTCCAAAGCAGCCCAGTTTCCAACCTATTCAAATTCTCACTTGACAACCAAGCATGTGAGCATCCTGAGAGCCTTTCTGCCTCTCAGAGTATAACTTGGATATTTTATACAACACTAAGTACTGACATATTTTACTTACTGTAAAGAGAAACCAAAACAAAACATATATCTCACAACAAAGTTTCATGAGTCTGACAGAGATCTGTATATTAACTTGACTCAGTAGCATTGTGAAGATCATTTTTAAGCTTCTAAATATATAAAAAATTAATACAATTACAGTTCACTGAAAAATTAGCATGAAATACATTGTGAAAGCTAAAATCATTCATGGCAAAGTAATGTTCCATTTAATTACAAAGATTAATTCAGCCTTTATATATGTGCCCAGTCTTTTCATTTTTCATTGAGAGCAGATGATTCAAGAGCCATCTGGTAAAACTGCTGCATAAATATCACTGCATCTATCTAGGGTTTACATATGGAAAAAATAGGAAAATAGAGTGATGGATCTTGGCAAAACACAGGAAAGTTGCATCACAGGACTAAGGCCCAAGCCTACAGATGTCAGTAGGAAATCACTACTGACTTGAGTGAGAGATGGATTGAGCTCACCCTAATGATGCACAGTATTTCCTTTGTGGGAAAATGAAATATCAAGGATTTTCACATTGTCAACTACAATGGAATGTGAAGTAGCAACTCAAACATTAGCACTTGGCCTGAAATGACAGTTTTTAACAGTACTTGATCTGCAGTGAACTGTCTAATTCATACTCAAGAATACAGATTATCATTATTTATTTTTTAAAACTTGGCTTAACTGTCCTCTATTTGTTGCATAACTGTCCCCATTTTGTTTTGTCACAATAATAGAAGCTGTGTAGACTTTTCAAGAACTGGTGTTTCATTTAATAACAATTCACATACCACCACTTCACACTGCACCATAACCATTCCCTTTGTATCACAATAATTGTTTTGAATGTTCTAAAATAATTGCTAAAATAATGAAGACAGAAAACACAGCTATCATTCCATCTTTGTAATAGCTTGAGGCCAAGGTCAAAGAAAAAGTAAAATAAATAATCAAGTGACTTATGCGAATGTATGCATAAAATTGCTTTCAGTTAAATACAAAAATACAGTTAAATACAAAAGGTTTCAAAAGTAGCTGAGTTAATTTAACAACTTTGTGCTGCCAAATGGAAAAAAAACCTCCTGGTCCTTGTCCTTCCTCCCCACTCCTCTCAGCTCTGTCCATAGTTCCTCTCATGCTGCCTGCACCCACAGCCTCCAAAGGCTGCCTCAGCTCCTCAACACATCTTTCTGTGGGACCACTTAACACACCAATAACACAGTAGAAATTTAACCAAGCTTTTCCCAGCTAATTTTCTGCCAGATCACTGAGCTGAATCACTCACCCACTACATGGACACAAATTCTGGAACTTCTACAAGACAAGTGCTGGGGACACATGATGTGACAAGTGGAGAAGGGTTATGTGGTACGGTAGTTACCTCCTCTCTGAATGATCTTTTGAAACCAAAGCCTCACTCAGAGAAAACTTACTGACAAGACAATACTATTTAG